AAGCTCTTGTTTTAATTAGTTTGAGGAGGGACTACTAAACGGAAACATTACGCAAACAAGTTGCTAATTATTCTCAGATACTGGCCAGCCATGAAGAATGAGGGCAGACATGAGTGAGTGATGATGATTGGTGATCCTTCACTACTACTAAGGATTGATAGTGAAGAATGAGCAGATCCCTGAATTATTTTATGCTTGACTGAATGAATGAATGAACATTTGCTGAGCTAGGTTCTTGAGATATAAGTATGATAAAGTCATGTCCCCTGCTCTGAGAGTCTACTAGGGTATTATCTAGTTTATTAAAAAATAAGCCAATTATACTACAGTGTGGTAAGTGCTTTGATAAGTGGTTGGTATGCTGTGAAAATAGAGAATTGAAACTGAGACATTTATTTGAATTTTTAGGGAAGTTGCTCACTTGCTCACTTAATTAAACAGCATAATTTTTGTTTTTTAGGTTTTTTGTTTGTTTGTTTGTTTTGAGACAAAATCTCACTTTGTTGCCCAGGCTGGAGTGCAGTGGCACCATCACAGCTCACTGTAGCCTCAACCTCTCAGGCTCAGGTGGTCTTCCCACCTCAGCCTCCAGAGTAGCTGATACCATAGGCGCATGCCACCTTGCCCAGCTAATTTTGTATTTTTTCGTAAAGACATTATGTAGAGACTTTTATTTATTTATTTTTTGTATTTTTTTGGGTTTCATTATGTTGCCCAGGCCGAGCATAGATCTTGGAAGTAGGAAGACTATACTCTCTGTATAGTGGGGGAAAGGGAGGAGTGACAGGAAGTGAGCCTAGAGGGGTAGGAGGGGGCTAGAATAGGAATGGCCGTCTGTGCTAGGATAAGGAGCTTCATGTTATCCTGAAAGCTATCAGGGAACAAGGAAAGATTTTTGAGAAGGAAACTTATATAATTAGATTTGCAATTTTAGAAAGGTGAATCTGGCAGCAATTTCAGAAGGGATTAAATGTCAGAACAGTGCTGTTGACATCTAGACAATTTATGAAACTGTAGGTGAGGAGAGATATTTCCGAATGAAGGCCAGGACATTGCAAAGGAAAAGTGGGGAGAATCACCTTCTAAAGTGGAAGTACAATCTGCCTTAGTTCAGGGACAGGTGGGATGTAAGGGATGCTGGAAAAAAGAAATTGAAGATAATTTGTGGCTTTCTGATTCAGGCCACAGTTGTTTTGTTGTTGTCCTTGTTTCCTTTTTAAATTGAAGTTACATTTAATTTATAAACATCATAAGATTAACCATTTAAACTATATAATTCAGTGATATTTGGTACATTCACAGTGTTATATAACTCTCATCTTTATCAGGTCCCAAAACATTTTCATCACTCCCCAAAACAGTAGCAATTCCTGATTCGTCCGTGCCCTCAGCCCTTGCAACCCACCAATATGCTCTCTGTCTCTGTGAATTTACTTATTCTGAATATTTCATATGAATGAAATATACTATGTGACCTCTTGTATCTGGCTTCTTTCACTTAGCATGATTTTGAGGGTTATCCATATTATAGTATGAATCAGTACTTTATATGGCTGAATAGTATTTCACATATGTATTTACCACATTTTGTTTGTTCATCTTGAATAGTATTTCACATATGTATTTACCACATTTTGTTTGTTCATTTTGTTTTTTTGTTCATTTGAGGTATTTTCACCTTTTGCTATTGTGAATAGTGAAAGCTGCTGTGAACATTAGAACGGGTTAGTACCTGACTGCCTATTTTCAATTATTTTGGTAATTTCTAAGAGTGGAAGAGTGAATTATATAATACCATGTTTAATTTTTTGAGGAACAACTAAACTATTTTCCACAGTGGCTATACTACTTTGTACTCCCACCATTGTATGAAGGATCCAGTTTCTTCTCATCCTCACCAACACTTGTTATTTTCTATATTTTTGATTGTAGCCATCAGTGGGTATGAAGTGGTGTCTTGTGACTTTGTTTTCTGAGACAGAGTCTTTGTTGTCCAGGTTGGAGTGCAGTGGTAGCCTCAAACTCCTGGGCTCAAGCGATCCTCCCACTCTGCCTCCTGAGTAGCGGAGACTGCAGGTGTGTGCCACTATGCGCCACTAATTATTATTATTATTTTCTGAGATGGAGTCTCGCTCTTGTAGCCCTGGCTGGAGTATAGTGGTGTGATCTTGGCTCACTACAACCTCTACCTCCTAGGTTCCAGTGATTCTCCTGTCTCAGCCTCCTGAGTAGCTGGGACTACAGGCACGCACCACCATGCCTGGCTAATTTTTTTGTATTTTTAGTAGAGATGAGGTTTTGCAGTGTTGGCCAGGCTGGTCTTGAACTCCTGACCTCAGGCGATCTGCTCACCTCGGCCTCCCAAAGTGCTGTGATTACAGGCATAAGCCACTGCGCCTGTCCACCCCACTATTAAAAAAAAATTTTTTTTTTTTTTGTAGAAACAGGGTCTCCCTATGTTGTCCAGGCTAGTCTGAAACTCTTGGCATAAGCAATCTTCCTGGCTTAGCCTCCCAAAGTGCTGGGATTATGGGTGTGAGCCACTATACTGGCCTCTTCTGGCTTTCATTTGCATTTCCATAATAGGTAATGATGAGCATCTTTCATGTTTTTGTCAGCCATTTGTATATCTTCTTCATTCCACTTCCAGTTGTATATCCAAAGGTCTTTTCAAATTCTTTGCACATTTTTAAATTTAGTTGTGTTTTTGTTGAGTTGTAAGAATTCTTTATGTATGCTAGGTACAAGTCGCTTATAACATACGATTCACAAATATTTTCTTCCATTCTGTAGGTTATCTTTCAGTTTGATGCATAAAAGGTTTAATTTTGATGAAGTTCAGTTTATTCTTTTCTCGTTTATGTTTGGTATTATATCTAAGAGTCTATTATCAAGTCCAAGGTTATGAATATGCACCCTATATTTTGCTCTAAGAATTTTATAGTTTTAACTGTTACATTTAGATCATTGCTCTATTTTGAGTTGTGTGTAATAAGGTGTCCAACTTAATTTTTTTGCATGTGGACATCCAGTTGTGCCAACACTATTTATTTTTAATTTTTATTATTTACTATTATTTTTTTGCACTCAGAAAATGATTCTGTTCCAATGCAGCACCATTTATTAAAAGAGATTATTCTTTCCCTGTTGGATGGTCTTGGCACCCTTTTCTGAAATCAATTGGATGTAGATGTAGGTGTTTATTTCTAGATTCTCAATTTATTTCACTGGCCTATTTTTTTATGTTGTTACAAATTGCTGCTTTTACATGGTGTGCCTATCAACAGATTTATGATTATTGTTTTATGTAGATGTCTTTTAGTACATAAGGGTAAAAAAGTTGCAAATTAAAAAGTAAAATATTACTGACTTTTATATTTATCTGTATAGTTACCTTTACTAGTATTCTTTATTTCTTTCTATGGCTTTGTGTTATTATCTAGCATCTTTTCGTTTCTACCTGAAGGCAACATTACTTGTAGAGCAGGTCTGCTAGTGAGAATGTCTTAATTTCTCGCTCATTTTTAAAAGATAGTTTTGCCAGATATAGGATTCTTGTTAGACTGTATTTTTTTTTTCTTCTTACCATTTTAAGTGTGTGACTCTGCTGCTTTCTGGCTTACATAGTTTCTGCTGAGAAATTGGCTGTTAATCTCGTGAATACATGATAAGTTGCTTCTTTTGATGCTTTTAAGATTTTCCATTTGGCTTTGGCTTTGATAAGATGATTATAATATATCTGGCTGTGGATCTCTTTGTGTTCATCCTTCTTGGTGTTTGTTAAGCTTCTTAGATTCATGTCTTACCAATTCATGTCTTATCAAATTTGGGAAGTATTGGCCATTATTTCTTCAAATAATTCTTTCCCTTTCTGTGTCTTCTTTCCTTCTTGAACTCTGATTATGTGTTGAGAGTGCTTGATGTTATCTTGTAAGTTTTTTGGCTTCCATTCATTTTTCTTCATTCTTTCTGCTCCTCTCATTTGATAATTTCAATTGGCCTATTTTCAGCCTCACTGTTTCTTTCTTCTGCTTACTCAAATCTGCTTTCAAAGCTCTCTAGTGCAATTTTCATTTCAGTTATTGTATCTTTCAATTCTAGAAGGTTTTCTTGGTTCCTTTTTATGCTTTCTACCTTGTTACTGATATTCTGCATTTGTTGAGACATCATTCTCCTGGTTTTCTTTATTTCCTTGTTTCCTTTAAGCTTGTTGAGCCATACTTAAGAAATCTGATTTAAAGTCTTTGTCTGTTAAGTCCAATGTCAAAAACTGTTTCTGTTAATTTCTTCCATGATGGGTCATATTTTCTTGTTTCTTTGCATGCTTTGTAAGTTTTTGAAAACTGGATATTTTATTATAATGTGTGATAATGCTGGAATTCAGATTCTTCCCCTTATCAGAGCCTCACAGTTTGTTTTTGTTGCTTGTGTAGGTTGTAGTTGTTTGGTGATTTTCTTTTTTTTAATTTTTTTTTAATTTTTTTGAGATAGGGTCTCACTGTGTTGTCTAGGCTAAAATACAGTGGTACAATTATAGCTTACTGCAGCCTTGACCTCCCAGGCTCAAGCAGTCCTCCTGCTTCAGCCTCTTAAGTAGCTGGGACCATAGGTATGTGCCACCATGCTTGGCTAATCTTTTTTTTTCTTTTGAGACAGAGTCTTGGTCTGTCACCCCAGCTAGAATACAGTGGTATGATCTTGGCTCACTGCAACCTCTGTCTCTTGGGTTCAAACAATTCTTCTGCCTCAGTCTCCTGACTACCTGGGATTACATGTGCACACCATCATGCCTGAGCTAGTTTTTGTATTTTTAGTAGAAACAGGGTTTCAACACATTGGCCAGGCTTGTCTTGAACTCCTGACCGCAAGTGATCTGCCTGCCTTGGCCTTCCAAAGTGCTGGGATTAGAGGTGTGAGCCACCGTGCCCAACCATGCTTGGCTAATTTTTAAATTGTAGAGATCATGTCTTGCTGTGTTGCCCAGGCTGGTCTTGAACTCGTGGATGCAAGCAATCTTCCCTCCTCACCCTCTCAAAGTGCTGGATTACAGGTGTGAGCCACTGCACCTGGCCAACTTTCTTAAGCTATTTTTGTAAAGACTGTACCTTTGTCATGTGTGATCTCTGAAGTGTCTGTTCCTTTAGCTTGTGGTTAGCAATTTTTTGACAGATGGCCTTGAATACCTGGAGCCTCACCACCTCACCTCACCACAACTCCCAAAATAAAATAAAAAACAACAAAACTGATTCTTCTAATCTTTGCCGATTGGCTCTGCATTGGGGCACTTTTTCAGAGCTTAGACTGGCTATTTCCAGTCCTCTTGTAGCCTGCTAGTATTGAGCCTAAAGATCAGCAAGATGTGAAAGTTTAGGGTCTTCTCAGGTCTTTTCTGAACATACATCCTACCGTGGGCATGCATGTGGCTTTCTAAATTCTCTAGTAAGACATGGTAGCTTTTCAATGCACTAAGTCTCCAAAAAATCTTTCTTCTCAGGCTGCAGCATATTTTGTGTACCTTAACAATAATATTTTGCTTCAGGTGACAGTGGGTTGTTCATTTGCCTTTCAATGTCTTCAAAGAATACCCTCTACGTAGCTACTTTTCTGTCTAGAGGGAGCGTTGAGTTAGTGAAAGTAAGGCAAGTGTCTTTTGTCAGACCTGAAGGTTGTCCCCAGATAGGTCAAAACAGACAAACACAGTTCTTTGAAAATAAGATCTGCTTTGCCTTCTGTAGAACTGGAGTCCCGCACTGGAAATGTGGGCTGCTGTTGTCAAGATTGTCACTGAATCAGGGAGGGCACTGGGGCAAGGGCAAGTAAAAAGTGCCGCAAAGATTTTATGTTTCCTCTTCCTTGAGTCAGTATTCACTTGTTGCTGTAAGCCTCTGATGATTTTCCAGAGTTCAGATGAAGTTAATTCTGATAGTTTCTGCTTATTTTTTGTTTACATGTTTTCTTCTGGAGGGAAGGGCCCTGGGTGCTCTGCCGTCTTTGTTGACATCACTCGCATGGGTGATTTTTTTGAAGAATAAATTTGATAGGAAGGTGAAGAGTTTTTGAACTAGAGAGAGAGGGATTTGAGAGTTACTAGATGCCAAGAGCTACAACGGAGGTATATCTCTTGAACCCTTTTGAAGGGAAATATTATAATTCATTTATATATTTTAAGAATTTTTTTGTCATTTGTTATGGGGTTCGTGTAAAAGAAATGTATAACTTTAAAGTAGTAGGAAAAAAACTGTGAATCTAATACCAAACTTAAAGCTAAAACATCATAGTAACTTTAAAACTATATTGTATTCCTCCCAGCCCCATCCTCCATCATTCCTGCAGAGATAAGTACTAGAGTGATTTTTTTTTGGTGGGGGAAGAGCTTATTTTTCTACATTTTAAAAGAAAAAAGACTCCAAAGCAACTTACCTAGATAGGTACATATCCCTAAACAATGTGTTGCTTAGTTTTGCCTTATGCTGTATTTGAAATCCTGTATAGAGTCTTGTCTGTTTTACATTTTTCACTCCGTATTAATCTAAGAGTATCCATGTCAAGTATAGCTGTACAGACGGTGTCTGACTTACCATGGTTCAACTCAAGGTTTTCCAACTTTACAATGGTGCAAAAGCGATACACATTCAGTAGAAACTGTACTTCAAGTAGAGCCATTCTGTTTTTTCAATAAATTACATGAGCTATTCAACACTTTGTTATAGGTTTTGTGTTAGGTGACTTTGCCCAATTGTAGGCTAATGTAAATGTTCTGAGCACATTTAAAGTAGGCTAGGCTAAGCTATGATGTTCAGTAAGTTAGGTATTTAAATGCATTTTTGACTGACAATATTTTATATATATAATGACTTTATGAGAATGTAACCCCATTGTAGGTTAAGGAGCATCTGTGTGTTGTTCGCTGTCATGAATGAATGAAACTTAGATGTGAATGTACCACAGTCCATCTGTTCTCTACTTGATGGGCATTTATGGTTGTTTCCAGTTGTTATCTTTTGTGAAGATGAACAATGCTAGTATGAACATTTTTATGTGTGCACTTAAGAAGATATGTATAGTGTTTCCACTGAAATGAAATGACTGAATCATGGAAGATACACATGTTCAACTTTACAAGATGGTATCACATTGTTTTCTATAGTGATTATTCCACTTTGCCTTCCTACCAGCCACATATAAAAACCCCACCGATTGTTGTTTTTGCCAGCATTTGGTACTGTTAGGCTGCTTCAATTTTGCTGAGGTAATGCTTGTAAATATTAGTTCATTGTGGTTTTAATTTCAAGCTAAGCATGTTATATCTATGTTTAACCATTCATATTTCCTTTTCTGTAAAATTCATTTTCTCTATTTTTTATTGGATTTTTTGGATTGTACTTATAATTGGAAGCTCTTTATGTACTCTGTCGATATTATTGCCTCATTTGCGTTATGCCTATTCATTTTCTTTATGATATCCTTTGTTTGTTTGTTTTGTTTTTTTGAGACAGAGTCTTGCTCTGTCACCCAGGCTGGAGTGCAGTGGTACAATCTCAGCCCACTGCGACCTCCGCCTCCTGGGTTCAGGTGATTCTCCTGCCTCAGCCTCCCAAGTGGCTGGGACCATAGGCATGTGCCACCAGGCCTGGCTAATTGTGATATCCTTTGCACAGAAGTTCTTAACTTTAATGTGAAATTTGTGAATATATTCCTTATAGTTAGTGATTCTTGGGTTTAAGACATTTTTTATTAATTACCTCAGTGTCATCAAGAGGGTTTCCTATAATTTCTTCTAAAATATTAATTTTTTGTTGAATATTTATATCTTTATCCAAAATTGTTTTTAAAAATTGAAGTATGGCATACAGAGAGAAAAGTGCACAAATCATATCACTTGATGAAATATCAAAAAATAATGGGTATATAACCTCTATCCACATGAAAAAGAAAACAACAACTTGCTAAGTTGTTAAAAAACAACCTGCCAAGTACTATCCTCATTCTTTTCCCCAGAGAGACATCCTCTACAAACCTCTAACACTATCAGTTAGTTTTGGCCATTTTGAAATTTATATAAATGAAATTATATGCTATATATTCTTTTGTTTCTTATTTTTCTTGCTCAATACTGTGTAAGATTCATGTTAAGCTTAATAGGAGCTTGTTCATTTTCATAGATATATACTATTTGTTTGTATAAGTATGCCATATTTTATTTCTCCATTCTGTTGATAGGTATTTGGGTTGTTCCTATTTGGAGGCTAGTATGAGTAATGCAGCTGTCACCACTCTTAAATGTCTTTTGGTGCACATGTTTGCATCTCTGTTGGGGGTATTCGCAGGAATGGAGTCGCTGGGAGGTTTGTGTTATGTTCGTCTTGAGTAGATATTGCCACATTTCCAAAGTGGTTGTACCTGTTTTCACTCCTGCTAGCTGTGTATGTGAATGTTCCAGCCGATCCACATTCCATCCATCTCTTAGGTTTAACCCACTTGCCAGTGTTTCAAATTGTGGCCGCATTGGTTGGTGTGCAGTTGATCTCATTGTGGTTTTAAATTGCATTTCCCTTATTGCTATTGAGATTGAGCATAGATTGATAGGCAGACAGGCTATTTAGATATATTATTTGATAAAATGCCTATTAAAGTCTCTTGCCTATTTTTCTATTTTATGTAATTTATTTTTATTTTTAAAAATTTTTTATAGAGATAGGTCTTGTTGTGTTGCCCAGGCTGGTCTGGAATTTCTGGCCTGAAACACCTTCTCCCACCCTGGCCTCCCAAAGTGCTAGAATTACAGGCATGAGCCAGTGTACTCAGCCTGCCTATTTTTCTAGTGGTTTTTTTTTTTGTCTTTTTTTTTTTTAATTATTGATTTTAGGACTTGTTTTAATATTTATGAAATGAGCTCTTTGGTGTTTAAGAAATACCTCTTCTGTCCATGTGACTTAAATTCTTATTCTCTTATTGATGTCTTTTAATAATCATAAATTCCTAATTTTGATGTAGTTCAGTTTGTTCAGCTTTTCTTTTATAGTTAATGCTTTTGTAGTCTGTTTAAAATCTTTGCCTATTCCCAAAATACTCACCTATTTATCTTCTAGAAACAGTTTTACCTTTCACAGTTAGAACTATAATTATGATTTTTTTTTTTTTTTTTTTGCTTGCATGAAATGAGGTAAGACTCAAAAGTAGTTTTTTCCCCATATGGATACCTAATTGATTCAGCATCAACATTTGAAAAGACTTTCTCTTTTTTTGCAGTCGTAAATCCATATATGTAGGGTTCATTTCATTTCTGCATTCTATTCTTCTAATGGAATACTGCTTTGCTGAAAAGTTTTGGTATCTGGGAAGGTCCCTTCACTTTCTTCTTAAAGATGCCATGGCTATTGTGAGATCTTCCATATAAATTTTATGGTTCTTCCCAAAACCATTTTGGGATTTTGATGAATATCGCTGGATTTAAGAATACTGCTGAATCTACAGATGAATTTGGGGATTTTTGATACTGAATTTCTCCATTTATTTCAGTCTCTTTAATATAGTTCAATAAAATTCTGTGTATCCTTTGTTAAATTCTAGGTGTTTTATATTTTTGTTTCTTTTGTAAATGATACCTTTTTGAAATTACATTTTCTAAGTGTTGATATATGAGTATGCAGTTAGCCATTTTGCTAGATCTTCTTATTGATTAACAAATTCTTTGTATATTATTTTGTTTTTCTGTGTAGATAACTGTAGCATCTGAGAATAATAGCTTTGTTTCTTCTTTTCCAATATTGGTTCTTTCTGTTCTTTTTTTCTTGTTTTACTGAACTGATTAGGATAGCACTATCCAATAGAAATATAATGTTAGCCTATGTATAATTTAAAAATGGCTAATAGTCACAGTTAAAAAAAAAAGGTGAAGTTAATTTTAATAATTTGTTCTATTTTATTTTAACTCAATATCATCATTTCAATATGTAATCAATATAAAATTAATGAAATATTTTGCTTGGGAGGGGTACTAAATCTTAAAAAGCTGGTGTGTATTTTGCACTTACAGCACATCTTACTTTGGACTAGCTGTATTTCCAGGACTTACAGCTGTGTGTGTGTAGCTAGTGGCTGTTGCCTCAGGCAATGCGCGACTTCAGTTTCTAGTAGAATGCTGATACTGTGCATACTTGTTACTAACTTTGAAACAACTACTGACATTTGACCATTTAAAGGATGTGTTCTGTAGATTTTGGTAGATGTCTTTTATGTTATTATAGAAGTTTCTTTTTTTCTTCTGAGACAGTCTTGCCCTGTCACCCATGCTGGAGTGCAGTGGCATGATCTCAACTCCACCTCCCAGGCTCAAACAATTCTCATGCCTTAGCCTCCCAAATAACTGGGATTACAGGCATGCACCACCACACCTAGCTAATTTTTGTATTTTTAGTAGAGAGGGGGTTTTGCCATGTTGGCCAGGCTGGTTTTGAACTCCTGGTCTGAAGTGATCTGCCTGCATTGGCCTCCCAAAGTGCTGGTATTACAGGTGTGAGCTACTGCACCTGGCCAAGAAGTGTCTTTATACTTTTAGTTTACTATGTTTTCTTCTTAACGAGAAATTTATTTTGAATTTTATCAATTGTTTTTATCCTCTTGAAGTGATATTTCTGGATTTTCTAATAGTAAGCTACTCTTACATTGCTGGGATAAACTCAACTTGGTCCTAACATCTCTTTATTTACTACTAAATTTGTCTTAATTTTGTTTTTAAGGATTTTTGCATTGTTCATAAAAGTAATGGCCAGTAATTTTCCCCTCCCTTCCTCCTTCCTCTCTCTCCCTCTCTCCCTTTTTCCCTTTCCTTCTCTTCCCCTTCCCCTTTCCCTTCCCCTTTCCTCTTTCCACTTTCCTTCCTTCTTTCCTTGTTTTCTTGCTCTTGCTCTTGCTCTGTTGCCCAGGCTAGAGTACAGTGGCACAATCTTGGATCAGTGCAGTCTCTGCTTCCAGGTTCAAGAGATTCTTTTGCCTCAGCTTCCCTAGTAGCTGGGATTACAGGTATGTACCACCATGCCCAGCTAATTTTTGTATTTTTAGTAGAGACGGGGTTTCACCGTATTGGCCAGGCTATTCTTGAACTACTGACCTCAGGTGATTCACCCACCTCGGCCTCCCAAAGTGCTGGGATTACAGGCGTGAGCCACTGCACCCAGCTGGTAAGTTCTTTTTTTAACTATGCTTTTCTGATTTTGGTTTAAAGGTTTTACTAGCCTCTTAAAATAAGCTGGGGAGTAAATAATTTTATATATATGTAAAATCTCTAGAAAAGTTTTTATAAAAGAGTGTCATCTTCTGTTACTTGGCAGTTGGTAGATGGTAGAACTTCACATTTAAAACCTTATAGTTTTTTTTTTTTCTTTTTATATTTCCTAAGTTTATAATACTCTACCTTATTGTAAGCATTTATAATAATGTGAGCATTTAAGGCTATGCAATTCCTTCTGACTACAGTCACAGCATGTCTTAGAAATATGCCTTTCCTTTTCATTCTAAGTGTCTTAAATTTCTATTAAGATTTATTTTTTAATCCACATATTATTTAGAAGTGTTTTGAAATTATCCAGTGCAGGATAATGCTTTGTCATTTTATTTTCTTAGTGAATTACACATGAATTAATTGCATAATGTTCTGCAAACGTGGTTGTATGAACTGATTCTTTTCTGTTTGGCCTTGCTGCATTGTTTACCACATGAACAGTTTATATAATTCTTTAATTTTGAGGCTGAGGATTCTCTGTGTGTCCATTCAGTCAAGTTTTAAAATTGGTTTAATTAGATCTTTAGTATCTTAACTGATTTTGTCTGCTAGACCTAACAATAATATAGAGATTATTTGATACTTCCTTAGAGTTCTGTCAAATTTTGCTTTATATGTCTTCAGTGCATATAAGTTTAGAATTCTCATATCTCCTTGGTGCATTGAAGTTGTTATGTCATGATTCTCTTTAACCCTAATGATTCATTTTGCTTATGTTTATTTTGTCTTATTTAACAAGGTTATTCCACCTTTCTTTAGTTAATATTGCCAGTGATATCCTTTTTCTACTTCCACTTTCTATCTTTTAGTATTTGCATGCCCTTATATTTTAGTGTATTTCTTGTAAATACCATATAGTGCATTGTTTTATTGTGGGGTGACATTTAAAATCTTTGGCAAGTCTTGTCTTTATATTTGTTGTGATTATGGATCTGAATTTCTTTATTTCATCCCTGTGCTTCCTGTTTGTCCTGCTTTTTCTGTGCTTTGCCACATCCTCCATTTTTGCCTTACTTTTTTAGATTTAGATTTTTGTTTTGGATTATTTACATTTTCTTTTTCACCTTTTTCCATTGGGGAGTTATGTATTTTATTAATGTTCCCTTACAGCTGGTGCTCGACTACGACCACGATTGGTTCCGACAGACCAGTCGTAACACGATTTTGGTCGTAAGTTGAGTAGGCTCTATGTACAGTACTGTGAAATGATGTTATAAAAATCTTTAAGTCATATTTTATCATAATTTTCTTTCATTATTGTTATATATCATAATTTTCTTTGTTCATTTTATGCCATTTGTATCATCTCTACACCACTTTGTTTCTTATTTTTACATTCGTCAGGTTTAAGTAAGACACTGCATTACCAGTACAACTGGTTTAATATTTGCAAAACATACAAAATTACAAAATACAGGTGCATACAAAAATACAAAATACAGATGTAAAAAATACCATAGGAAACATTTTCCCAATTGCAAAACATATCAAAATATATAAACATGTATGAAACATTTTATTGGCCGCTAGTGCTTGGCTGCGGATCGTTGATGTTGTCATCTGAGGCAGCAGTTGGGGTTACTGGAGTTGGTTTTTTCATAAACATGGTGAGCTTTGTCTGAATTGTGTTTCTTTTTTTCTTAATAAATTTCACGATCCGGACGAAACACATCGTGCGCTATCCGTTCAATCTTTGCAAATCGTTCGATATTTGGGTCCATTGCTTCGAAATGTATAAGAAGTTTATTCAGTAAAGATAATCCGTTAGTGGGGAACTAACTTTCTGTCTCCCCTTCTTCTTTCTCTCCTTCTCTTCTTTCTTCTTCCGCCACTCTTTCTTCTTCCGCCACTCTTTCTTCTTCCAGTTCGATTAGCTCTTCATTTGTAAGTTCTCCGGATTCTTTGTCTAGCAACTCTTCTACATCTTCCATTTCCCACTCCAAAGAAAGGTCTTTAGCGAGTTTTACTATTTTTTCCCCCCGAATCGTTTCAAGTTCATGTTCACTGTCAAATCTGTCAAAATCATTAACATAGCGCTTAACACAATTTTTCCAGATGCCATTCATGCACTTTGTCGTCACAGCCTCCCAGGCGGTAGTGATATTCTTGATACACATCAAAATGTTGTAGTGTTTCCAAAAATCTACAGCGGAGCAGTCGTGGCTAGCGATTGTGGTCGTAAAGTCGAATGGTCGTAAGTTGCATAGGTTGTAAGTCGATCAATACCTGTAGTTTATACCTTTGTCTAAAACATCTAACAAAATCTAAAATTAATCCGTATCTTAAAACCTATCCCTCTTGAAAAAATACAGAAGCCTTACAACACTTCAACACTAATTACCCTAACCTTACCTACTACCTACAATTTATGTGATATTCTTATCCGTAGTTTTAACTTTATTTTTAATAATTCTACAAATTTGACATTATTATTTTATATGGTTAATGCTTGTTTAGATTGGCCCACAGGTTTACCAGTTTCTTTGCATGCTATTCTTTCTTGTGACTCACTCAGACCTTTCTTTCTTTCTTTTTTTTTTTTGAGATGGAGTCTCACTCTGTCGCCCAGGTTGGAGTGCAGTGGCATAATCTCAGCTCACTGCAATCTGCACCTCCCTGGTTCAAACGATTCTCCTGCCTCAGCCTCCTGAGTGGCTGGGATTACAGGTGCCTGTCACCATGCCTGGCTAATATTTGTATTTTTAGTAGAGCTGGGGCTTCACCTTGTTGGCCAGGCTGTTCTCGAACACCCGACCTCCTGATCTGTCCACCTCGGCCTCCCAAAGTGCTGGGATTGATTACATGTGCGAGCCACTGCGCTCACCTTAGACTTAGACCTTTCTAATGGAGTATTTTCCTTCTTAAAGAATATTTTTTGGGAGTTTCTTTAATGAACGTCAAATGGTGGTAAACTTTTATGTTTATCTGAAAAATGCCTTTATTTTACTCTATTTCTACAAATATCTGGGTACCCATTTCCAGGTTATTCCAGTCATCTGTTCTCTCCGAAATAGTAGGATAGTTTTTGAAATGTCTTTCTAATGAGAAAGGTAATCTAGAGGTCTAATATTTATTATGTGTAGGATTAATTTAAAAATCTTAGTGAAAAGGCTTTTAATAACATTGTACAAAGTTTGTGTTATACTGAAAGAATTGCTATACATTTAAAAACTGAAATATGACTAAAAGAACTTTCCATCTACATATGGTGGTGATTGCTTTTAGGTTTGTAGCTGGAGTCACTATTTATAGGGCCTATTATTTATGGCTTTGAGTTTCATTTACTTATACTAAGCACTCAATTTTCAGAACGCTTGTGTTTTATTAGTTCTTGGTGATGGAGGGCAGTGTGCATTCTGTTGTTTAAAAAATCTTATTTCCTAACTATTACCTTGATTGGAGTCAGCTTAAGTGGATATATACTATTATTACTGCCTGCTCCTTATTGCTTCTATAATATGGTAAAAGAAAGAGGAGGGACTCCAATATTCACTGACTCCATGTATCACTCATTTTACATACTCTGCATATCTATTCTTTTTTAGCTGTCACTACAGATAATCCCACCATACTTTCATTTTGTAAATGAGGAAATCGAGTTTGAAAGTTAAGGCACAAGTGTATGGTGTACAAGTTATAGTATACAAGGGTTGGAACTAGGAGTCAAAACACAGATGCTCCTGTATTTTCTACAATTCCAGTGTTATGAGTTAAAATATCTTCTGGTAATCAGTCCTCTATATACAGCCCAATAGGCAGATGGGATACTCACCTGTGTGGCTTGAGATTCGATGTGGGAAAGAGCCCGTCAACTAATGATATTGCTGTACTACTATTCTGTGGTGTGGCCTGTCATTAGATTTACTTCTAGGGTTTGAGATGGACCATAAATTGTTAAATATGTTTATCATTAATATTAGTTGTACTTTTAACAATTCCCTATGTGTTCAGCTTAAGAAAAATTAGGTTAGAAATGAGTTATATGGAATATTATATGAATAAAATGGTACTTAATTTAAGAGCCTAGGTTGCATTCGTTAAAATTCTAGAGGGATAAATGGACCATTTTTTAATAAAAATGATACATTGTGTTAGCGCCATCTACTGTTAGGTCAGAATAATGACTTCCTGGTATACATTTGGTTTTTTCCTGGTGGCATATTCCAAGTCTGGCATCTTTCTGCAGGTCCTCTAACTTAGTTGACCACTCTGTAGAATGTGGGTGTTTTGGGCAATTCACATGATATCCTGTCTATGGTCAGGGCAGCCAGTTTTTGTAGATCTTGTTTCATAATTCTTGTTAAAGTAGCAATGACAAATTTTCTACAATTTTCTTGATAGTTCAGAATTTTAAAATAAAGCTAGCTGATTGTGCTTTCTACAAAGCATCCTTGTTTTAAGATTTGCTAATTTATCATTGTTAGACTGTTGGATTAAAATTGAAATTAAAATTGAACATTCAATTTGTAG